TTGCTTTAAGGACCAGTTGGGCAAAGATTTGAATCAGTAATTCCTTCCTCTTTCTGTGACCATTGGAGATCATCTATTATTCTGCAAGATTGCAAAATTTGGCCTTTCATTTATCAGTTAACAAGCTTGCCTGCTCTCACAAAGCTTGACTGTTGATGGAAAAACAAATATACAATTTTGTCTGTTCCTACAAAGGCTTCTAAGGGTTGAAAGACAATGTCCTTTCTTTGTCTTATGATGATTTCATCAACAACAATTTATCTCATTAATTTTGCACATTCTAAATCTTTGACATCAGAAGTTACAAACTTTTGAAGGTGATGAAAGTATCCTCATCAGTGACTTCTGCAAAAATTTGTTGAAGACATCCTGATATAGGATGAGAGAATTAAAAGCTCCATATGTGAATATGTGCAGTGGTTTAAGGATTGAACCACATGCATAACGTCTTGATGTTAGAATACAGAAAATGACTTCTATAAGGCTACATGCTGCAGCAGTATTCCATTAAGTCATAAAGTACTGCCAGATGCAGAGCAAGACACTTTTGCGTGAGAAGATAACAAACAGAGCAAAGGCATAATGTTACAGTGGTCATATAAAACTAATCAACTCCATTAATTCAACTCTTCCTACTACTTTCTTCCAAATTTTTGTTTTGGTTTTTTGGATCAGCAAAAGACAAAATCTTCTAATTCTTCTACTAATTTATTTACAATGAAACTCCTCCACTGCAAGGAAACCAAGAAAATATGGCACCACTTCCTGAAGTTTTTTTTTGGGTATTCGGTGCTATGCACCATTAATAACTTCTCCCTGGCCCCTTTTTTCCCCAAAGTGCTGGTTGCGGGATTTAATTCCGCGTCAACACTGGAACAGACCAGCTAACACACCAACGAGCCAGTTCACTTCCTGAAGTTGGTGGGTTATAGTTGGGCTACCCCGGAAAATATTCAGGATTTCATTCAACAATGGCAAGGCAGAGGATTAAGTAAAAGAGGTAAAATCTATTGGCAGACAATCCTACAAGCAGTGATGTGGGGTGTTTGGGAAGAAAGAAACAATAGCTTATTTGATAACAAGACAAAATCTCATGAGGAGCTAGTCTCTCAAATCACTCTTCATTGTAATCTTTGGGCCATCAATTCTGATCTTTTAAGAGGATTCTCAGTGACTGAGCTCAATAGAAGTGCTCAGTTTCTTCTCTTCTACTCAACCTCCTCCCCTGCTGATCCCTGCATATTAGCAAGAACAATGGAAGGAGGGATGACACTAAACTTTGACGGGAACACGTTAGGCAATCCAGGAGCAGCTGGTATAGGAGGCATAGTAAGAGACGGAAGGAGCATTGTTATTTGGACTTTTAGTGGCCCAATAGGTGTCGCTGACTCCACCAAGGCGGAAGTGTTGGCAGCCCTCATGGGAATCAGAATAGTTAGAACTTAGAACCATGGGCATTCAAAATTTAACCATTTCAGGAGATTCAGCAAATACCATAAAATGGCTAAGAGACAAAGAAGGTGGTCCATGGAGATTAAGCCATTTGATTTAGATTCCAAGGGATCTAAACTCTATTGCAGATGGTTTAGCTAAAATAGGTGCACATTTGGATGTATTATATAGTGACAGTTTGATTCCTATGTAATCCCCAGGGGTTTCCCCTTTACTTTGTACATCTCCTCATGTAATTTCTCTCTTATAAATAAAACCCTGTTACCTTTTCAGCTTTTCTCAAAAAAAAAAAAAAAAAAAAAACAATGAATCAACAAACTCTTATCCCAACTTCACAGGGTTGGCTATATTAGTCCTGTTTGCCACACTCTATTAAGGCTCAGGTCCATTGTACATAGCCAAATAAGAGAACTAACTCAAATGATTTTTTTTTTTTTTGAAAGCTGTAAAGTATAGTGATTTCATTAAAAAATCAATTACAGAAACCCCTGTACACAGACAAATGAACATAGGATATACACAAACCCAAAATGGGCTGTTTTGTGTTCAGAAATGAGGAAGGAGAAGTCTTGGCCCTTTACTCGGGCTCAATTGGGGTGGGAGATTCATTAAGGGCAAAAGTAATGGCCTTACTTCAAGGTTTGAGACTGGCGAAACAATGGGGAATGCAGCAATTAGAAGTGGAAGGAGACTCCAAGATGGTAATAGGGTGGATGCAAGCTGGAAACCTGGGAGTGTGGTCTCTTAGACAGCTCTAAGAGAGATTATTAGCTTAGAAAGGGAGGTTGGGGTGCATTTTAAATGGGTAAGAAGGTCAGCAAATGGAACGGCTGACACTTTAGCTAAGAAAGGAGTTACTAGGGAGGCTTTGTCTTGGGCCTGTTTGTAAGTTTTTGTTTTATTTCCATCCATTTTGTGGGCGGTAAGCCTGTAATCTTTTCAATTCTCTAATGAAAGTTGCCATTTCCTATAAAAAAAAAAAAACCAAAACAGCCCATTACAGCCTCAAACCCCCAAACAAAAAACTAACTAACCATTCCTTACTAACAAAAAATTAAACTCAAAACAATTAAACAACGAGTGTACAGTCAGCCATGAGTGGTCATCCCTAGAATTTTCCTCAGAACATCTTCTTTTGAGTTTTGAATTCCAATCTGTTATTTCTTTCACTCCACACAGCCCACAGAACAGCTGCGGGAATAATATTCCAAGCCACCTTTCCAGCTTTATTGAACCACAGCCACCAAGCCTCTATGAGTCCCCTAACATCCGCTGGGAAACATAGTTTAGCACCAAATAATTCCACCACTCTTAACCACATCCAGTGAGTAAAATCACAGTGTAACAGCAGATGACTAGATGATTCCACATTCCCAATACATAGGGGACATGTTATGTCTACCACTTCTAACCCTCTTTTGACTAAATTGTCTTTGGTTAGAATCTTATCCAGCACTGCTGACCAAACAAAAAAGGCTATCTTTGAAGGAACAGTTCTAACCCATATTCTTTGACTTGGGAAAGAGATGTCTTCCTCCTTTGAAACTACTTTAAAAAACGAGTTTACAGAGAACACACCTGATTTCTCAAGGCTCCAAGTTCTTTTATCTTCCCCTATTCCAGGTATGTTCGAGTCATAGAGAAACTGGAGCAATCTGATTAGAGAAGCCACCTCCCAATCATTTAAATTTCTCCTGAACTGGGGGTTCCAAGAGAAATGGCCATTCTTTCCAAACAGTCAGCAACAGTTGCAGTTTTGTTTGTGGAGATTTCAAACAGGTCTGGAAAAGCATTCATTAAGGGGCCCTTTTCAAACCAGGCATCCTTCCAAAAGAGAACCCTCCTACCATTTCCCACTTTGTATTTTATTCCCTTCAAAAACTGGGGCTGGATTTTTTTGTATTGCCTTCCAGTTTGAGCACCCATAGGGAGAGCTTATCTCCTCTGTTTCCCAATCCCTGCTACTCAACCCATATTTGGCTACTATCAGCCTTCTCCATAAACTTTCTGTCTGTTCATTAAACCTCCATAGCCATTTACCAAGCAGAGCTGTGTTTACCTCTCTTACTGATCTGATCCCTAGGGACCCATTTGTCAGTAAAGATTCTCTAGATGAAATAAATAAACATAAATGAACACTTTTCCTTCCAGAAAAAAAAAGGCAAAGTATGTGCTTCAGCAGAGCATAGAAAATATACAATTGATCAAGTTGCATTGATAGGCAAAGTTATTTTATTTTCCTCCATCACATGAATTACCCATGTAGCGACACCTGTACAGCTGGTGCATGTAACCTTCTGCTACTGGCACATCGTGTCTTGTGTCATTTCAGTCACAAGGTTTAAGGCTATAATGTGCTAGAGACGCACCTATTAGGGATTCCTATAGTTGTGATTGAATTGGGTAACAGTCTAAATTAGGCTCTCATAAACACCAATAGAAGCTTATTATATTTTGGATTCCATGTGAGCATACAGAGAAAACAAAGTGTACAACAGGCTAAGATTTTCCTACAGGTTTGACCATGTGAGTAACCAAAATAGAGGGTTCTGTTCCTTAAGTTCAATAGGAATTTAAGGAAACTAGGGGGCCTAAACTTAGATTTCCCTTTAAAAAGTGAAAAACTGTATCCATCTGTCTTCTAGAAAGTAATCAGAGAAATCAAGTTAATGTCAAGTTTAGATTTTGAATAGCTGCTAATTATATTGGTAGAATTGTCATTTGATTCACTGCAGTGAAATTTTATTTGCACTACTGAAATGCATGGGAGCTCAAATGAGAAGAGTGCAAATTCCAGTTCACTTTAAATTCAGATTTTACTTTACTTTGCTTCAGAATTTATTTTACTTCATTTGCACCACAAACAAACAAAACAAAGCAAAATATAAAACAAAAGTAGACCAGAATTTGCACTCAACTCATTTGCACTCCCATACTTTTGCACCATTGCAAATAATTGCAATGCAAACAAACAAGGACTAAAGAACCATCAAGAAATGCACAATCACTGAGATCTCCCTATGTAAAACTGTAAATGAAATCATGAAGCAAAAACAATTAAAAGAAAAAGGAAGTGAGTAAAAACAATTAAAAAAAAAGAAAGTGAGCCATTCATGCCATGCAACAAATCGAGCCAACAACGAGGCAATAGAGAAGTTATAATTTGCACTATAAGAGATACTGAGATAGTTTATGTGGTTTAGAATAGTCAGAAATATTGCGACTGTAACAGAAAGGATTAGACTGTCATAGACACTGATAGTATGCATGGGTTACTTTTAGACATTCCATAAGAGGATTTCAAGAGTAATACATCTCACCATTCCCACATCTCCTTCCTTGAATGCTTGCATAACTACTAAATTATGAGTTCAGAAAACCCTAGTTTGGTTACTCTATAATCACTTCAACTTCATCATTCACATTCCACAAATGACATCCCTGTTTCAAGATTTTCAATTGGGCAACCACACTCTAAAAATTTATTGTCGAAATATTCCCTACAAGGATAAACACCCAATTCAAATGGCAACAAGCATGAAACTTACCGGAATCCCCACAGCCCATGACTTAACGGCAGTTACAACAGCTTTTGACAAACCGTTGCTTCCTCTCCCGTCGTCTCCGTAACCTCCAAGGAAGTAAGCACTTAAAAACCATCCTGCCAAATCATTTAAATCTCTCAATAACAGACCGAACAAAATCCATTTGCTCATAGGTCAAAAGAAAGAAAAAGAAAAAAGAATAGCCACCGGCGATAAAAGGGTCCGCAGTATGCAGGGTCTCAACGTTAAGAACTGGGAAACCATGGTTGAATCTTCCAATTGCAGAAAACAAAAGTAAAGCCAAAACATCCCCACCAGCCATAAGAGCAATTCGACTGAAACAGAACACATAGGGGAAAATAGTCTTCGAAATAATAGAATTCAAAATGGAGGGAAAAGGAGAAAAGGGAGACAGAACAAAATTTGACTCACCCCCATTTATTTAACTTGGAAGGTGAATTGGGTTTTTCGAACTGAATTACACCTTCAAGTGGAACGGCTTCTTCACCGACAAAAACAGTCTCATCGTTGCTATAAGGAGATTGCGAGGAGCTGGAGAAAGCTTGCTTTGTTGCAGAAGCTGAATCACCACCATCTCTTTCTGCATTTGTGACTGTGAGATTTATGGTTCTCCTAGAGTTTCTGGATGCAAACTTGGGTTTTGAATTGGAGAAGAGAGTTGGATTTAGAGTTGGGATTCGTGAAGGAGATGAGAAGGAGCAATTACTGGTTGAAAGAGCTCTCACTGGAGCTTGGCTTAGCAGAAGCATGTTTATTTGTCCACTCGTTTCCTTCGTTTTTTCACAAACCAAAGACGCGCTTTTGAGTTGTATGTATTTTTAAGTTTGGGAATTTATCAAGGGTCCGTTTCGTTTGCAGTCGTAAACGAAGGAAACGAGTGGACAAATGCGTGAATGAGAGTCATCAATAATAGAATTTTATTCTCAAGGGAGAGGTAGGAAATGGCCGTTTCTTCAAATGCGTGAATGACATTCTAGCAGGAATGAGAATAGAATTCCAATTTTGCCCAATTAAATAGTTAAAATCGAAATAACTCATTCCAGACCCTTCCCACGGGGCCTATTTTAGTTTTTATCATTTCTCTAAATTCATCACAACTTTTCAAAACAGTCACATTTCAAATAGTTTTTTTATTTTCCAATGGTCACTCCTAACTAGCACTTGCGTGGCTCCTGAAAGGTACCTGAGATAGAGAAGATGAAGGATCCCCGGGGGCTTGCTCGGCGGAAACACTCCGACGCTTAAGTTAGAATTCTGTGAAAGATGCAAAGAGAGGATGAAGGCTAAGAGTGCAGATAGCGCGAGTATGTGGAAGTTACCTCTGTTCCTTGAGACTGGGCTTCTTATAACAGAATTCGGTTGCATCAGGCCCACTAGCCTCTGACAGGGCAGGTATAACCGCCACTGTCATCTTGCCGCAGCCGTTACAGGCAAGGCTGAGGTGGCACGCGTGTGGCCGTCATTGCAGGGTACGTGCTTGTCAGGTGTAAGGCACCCTCTAAAGGTGGCAGGCACGACACTGTCTGACGAGGGACATGGTTGTTGTCCCCAGATTTGTCGGGTACGATGGTCGGGCAGGAGATCTTCCTACGATATGCCAAACTGCTCTTTCGCGAGCTACCTTGTGCCGAGCTATTCCGCAAGTGGCGAGCTGCCCGTGGCAAGCTACACCGAGCTGCCCGGCCCGAGATGTCTTTACCTCGGAGTATCTAGAGGCGGATCGGGGTGTTCCTGTTTGGGAATGGCCAAAATCCACTGGGAGGAGCTCGGGCATTAGGAAAGGTCAAGGGGCCCCAAGCTCGGAGGTAGCTCGGAACATCTTAGCCTCGGGGAGGAGGTGCAGGTCAGGCGGCTCTCGACGAGTAGCTTATCCCGCCGAGTTGTCAGGCTGAACTCGGCGGGCCCTTCCCTCCGAGTTGCAGTTGCGCTTGCTGTACTGTCATACTGAGTCATTGCTTGAGCAAGATCACACCCATGTGTACCCGTGCTAAGAGGTCAGGCCAAATCACCCTCCATCAGTCATCGTTACTGATCATGAAATGAAAGTAAGTACTCCTTAACGATTGAATGAATTTCTTTTATTGATGGCATGAACTTCATATGAAACGATACAGGGTAGAGCGAGCATTATTCCGTTAAAACCAAAGTTTTGGTTTAGGTTTTTTTGATTTTTGGTTATTTTGATTCAGTTTTTTAGTTTTATAAAATTTTGGTTTCGGTTTTAAGATTTTGGAATTCAGTTAATAAAAAACTGAATTAACTAAACTATATATATTAACATATAATACATATATAATATGTATAATATATTATATATTGAAATATACAATTTATTATACACACATATATATTGCATAATATATATATTTTAATATATAATACATAATATATATATATAGTGTGTTGAAATTCAGTTTTAACCAAAATAATCAAAAGAACAAACTGAAATTTTCAGTTTTGATTCGATTTTTCATTTAAAATTTCGATTTATTCGATTTGATTTTTAATTGAATAAACTGTTTGCTCACCCCTAATAGAGGGAGAAGAACGCCAATGAATGTAGAATCATGATTATCATGGACTGTTTGTAGTTTGAAGTGCTTACAAGCCAAGTTAGAAGGCAGTGAATGCAAGCATGGACCAGAGCTCAACTGGAAGAAGTTATAGCAGTGCAATGCATGTCCCAGGATTCATCTTTTGATCACTTGGTGGCTATTGTAGGGAAGATTACTAGTGAAGCCCATTGGGCTCTGTTGTTTTGGTTGCAAGTTGTAGCAACATTGAAACAGAGGATCATCTGTTTTGGCAATGTTCGTTTACAGTAGTTGTATCATTTGGATCCATTATTGTAGGTTGGTGAGGCTGTTCGAGTGGATAGATTTTGGGTAATGCATGATCAATGGGACGTGTAGAGGTAATGAAGAGAAGCGCCACAAGTACTTTTTAGATTGCAATAAGCGTAAGCCGGTAACCATTATTGTATGGACTATGGAGGTTTTGGAACAGAGTTACCTCTGAATCTCAAGGATGGTAGACGAAGCCAGCGAAGGTTATTGATGAGTAGCAGCATTGAAAGTTGAAAGTTGAAACAGAAAACAATGGCAGTTTCTCTAATGTACAAGTGCTTTACCCGGATCCCGGATCCCGGATCCCGGATCCTGAGACAGTGAAGGTGCATGGACTACTTGGAGCCCATGGACCATGGTCTATCAAAAATCTAATTCATGATGGCAAAAATCCCACAATGTTGCATTAGATATATCCCCAAAAGTTGCAATCCATTGGCCCATGGTTTGGCCAAATTATGTCCTATTAATCAAACTATAAGTTCTTTCAAAATATCAACTCTATTAAGTGTCTTGAAAGAGAACCCACCTAATTGCTTAATTTGTTTTTTTTTTTTTTCATCAACAAATATTCTCTATTTACTAAGCGTAAAAAGAAAATAGATCATTTTAATGCCATTCAATCACTTTGAATGGCTTCAAATTGCTTCAAGCGAATGGCTTCTATCGAGCTACAGATTGGTGGGAACTATGAAATAGCTCACAGATACATGGATTGGATTGTGCAAGAAGATTGAGTTTCAGTGAAGCACAGGGGCTCTCAATCTCTCAGACAGGATTTCAAAGAAAACCCCTGGAACTCATAGAATACATAGGTGCAAATATAAAGAGAGCATAGACCATGGGCTCTATGCCACAAAGGACATCAGGCTAAGACCTTGTTACAGTAAATAAATCAGTGGCCACGGACAGGGGTATCTTGTCTGAACCCAACCAAGAGGTCTCGTTTTGTAATTTGAGGATTGAAATCACTTGTTCTAACTCTCCTAACGGATTGGTTCGAGAGCATGCATCAAATTGCCCCAACTTCTTTATATTCTTAAACTGGTTAGTCGACCCAGTTGCAATGTTTGATTTATCGGGGAGCTTCTTCTCTATGTGGGTTTTAAACGAATCCTCTACATCGATGAACAGGGAGAAAAGGGGGAAAGAGGGAGGAGGACAAGTTGGCAGAGAGAGAGAGAGAAATCCGATAACACTGTTTGTCGTTTAGGGGGCGTTCTTTTTTCGGATTCTTAGAAGGGGGAAGTTGGTCAATGGGATTTTGGTTCCCATTGACCAAGAATCTCATGTTTTTTTTTTTTTTCAGATTTATGTGGGAACCAAGGGAAGTTTATTTTTCTGGGTATCACTTTCTCAGATGGATAAATAACTTTTCCACCCAAGGAAAAAGTTGTCAACACTTGAATGGGACAAAAATACCATTTTTAATAATGGATTTTTATGGCTAAAATGGTCATTGCCTTATTTACATGAGAAATAAAAGAATATGGGTAAATGCACTTACCTGGGTAAATATTTCCCAAAAAAAACTCTCAGATAATTACATTTATCCAGATAAGCAACTTACGTAAAAACGAACGGGGCCTTAATGAATGGTAAATGACTTACAATGGCTATTTAGAGGTTTTGAAAAGTTATTGTGAGTTTAAGAGAAATGCAAAAAATAGAAAAAAAAAAGCATGATGAATTTTAAATAATATCACTTTAATTTTTAATCTTTATCATGGTCATTGATTTGAGCACATCTATTTTCGATAAACTATAACAGATGGAATATAAGAGCAGAATTTATATCTCGCAAGAGCAAACATAAGCTCTGTGAAAAAAAAAATGCCTTCTTTGGAGTTTTATCATATATTAGTTCAGGATCAACCGCCTCTTCCACTAGCCCTCACCAGAATGAAACTGTGGTTTGGTGGATGCCACCATTGGGTTTTGTAGTTAAAAGCTAATTCTGATGGTAGCTATTCAGCAGGCCGAAGTGGTTATGGTTTTTGGTTCAGAAATTCTGTAGGTTCTTTCCTGTTTGGCAGTTGTGGTGTTTGTAATCTGATTTCTCCTTTATATGCTAAAGTTTTTGCAATCAAACAATGATGTTTTGCCGCTAAGGCGCAGTTTGAAAAGAGTATAAATGCAAATATGCACAGTGTAAATATATACAAAATAATATAAAATACAAAGTTTTACATTCTAGATATATATTTGTATCTGTACTCCTTCCAAACCGAGCCTAAACAATTACGTTATGAACTTAATTTTTAAAAGTGACAATCAGTCTATTACTAAGGTTCTGGAAGCAAGATCTTTTGATATCAATACTAGCGTGGAGTTTGCTAATGGATATGTACAGTCTAATCTCAATTGGGTTCTCATTTAGCTTCAAGCGAAGAGAAGCCAACAAGGCTGCTCATCTCTTGGCAGCCAAAGGAGCAGCTGGTTTGGAAGGCAATTGGTCATGCCCCCTTTCCTGGCTGTTGTCTTCGCTATGATTCTTCTTTGTAGTTTATTTTCTTTCCTTTTCTGTTGTTTTCCTTTTTGTTGTTTTTCTAATATTTCTAAAAAAACAAGGCTTCTTCGTCTTTTTACTGTAGCGAAAGGGTCATGCCCAATTTCCATCACGTGAGAGTTCAAGTGGGTTTCTATAGCACAGCCACAGGATCGTCTCTCCGCCTCAACTTTTTAGAGGCATGACCGAGAGAGGGGAAAAAAAAGACTTATGGGGGCATTTGGAAAGTTATTTCTAGATTTTCAAAGTTTAGAAGAATAAATCAAGTCTTTACCTATTTGACAATGAAAGATAGGAAATCAGAAAGACCTATTAAAAAAGATCATGAAAGCATGGTTTTTGAATTGTTGTTGATTTGCACATTTCTACTGTACAATTTGGAAACTGTCTATGCAACTGGATTAGTTTCACACCTAAACTGTTTTTTTTTTTTGAAAACCCGATGACTTAGGCGGTTTAAATGTTGAAGGTTTTTAAAATCAGACCGGACAGAGAACCGTTATAGGGACCAGTCCCTGGGTAGAACAAACAACCC